CTGAAACCTTATGAGGGGTCCGCCAGAGGGTCCCCATCGCCCAGTGTCCCGGATCAAATCCGCTCCTTCCTTGCGTCACCAGCTCCCACGAGTGGTTTTCGTAGAAGGCGGTGGTTATGGCTTATGTCAAGTTCAATGTGAAGTGGTGATGAGGGTGGTGGGGAACTTGCCTAATATTAAGGTTCTGTTTTCCCCTAGCACTCTGGGAGGCTGAGGCGGGAGAATCCCTTGAGGTCAGGAGTTCGAGACCAGCCTGAGCAAGAGCGAGACCCCGTCTCTACTAAAAATAGTAAAAAAAAAAATTAGCTGGGCCCGGTGATGTATGCCTGTAGTTCCAGCTATCCGGGAGGCTGAGGCAGGAGGATCGCCTGAGCCCAGGAGTTGGAGGTTGCTGTGAGCTAGGCTGACGCCACAGCATTCTAGCCGGGGGCGACAGAGTGAGACTCTGTCTCAACAACAACAAAAAAAGATTCTGTTTTCAGAGATGAGTTTGTAGTTCACAGCTAATCTGTATATGAATATGAATGGCCCCAACAGAGTAAGTGGGCTGTGCAGGTTGGCATGTGCGGTTGAGTTCTCAATTAACAGCCAAAGGATGAGGAGTGCACTTAATCTTTAGATAAACCCCAGGAGCACACCGGCTCCAGCTGTCCTATGTCCTGCTGGGTTCCAGGAGGTGTTCTAGGCTCTGAGGCGACAGGGAACTAGACAAAGGCCCTGCCTTCATGAACTTGCACCCCAGGGGAGGAATACAGGCACTGCAGTTTGTAGGCAGATAAAGAAGATAATTTCAGATAGTGGCATGTGCAACTGGAAGGGAGTAGCAGGATAGTCGGAGGAGGGATGGGGAGCCATGCTTTTGCTCTGGTGGTCAGGACAGCCTGTCCTTGGTGACATTTGAGCCGGGATCGAAGGGTACACAAACAGGAGGCAGCCAAGGGAGGAGTCTGGGGCAGAGGGCTGTGTAGCAAGTGCAAGGGAATTGGGGCATCTGATCTATGCTTTTACAGGAATCACCCCAGTGGCTCTGGGAAGAGGGACAGACCTAGGGACGGGATGTATGGGAGAGGGACGACAGCGTAAAAAGGGAAATCATTAAGTCCATTCTGGACAGATTAAAGAGGTAGTCACTGTGGGGCCCACAGATCAGGATGTACTGCAGGCAATTTGATACTCTTACTTAGAATTTGGGAGGGGGATTGGATAGATTTGGAAATTACCAGCAGCAAGAATAATATTTAATGGTTGGGAGTGGACAAAGATGCCCAGTAAAAATGGAAACAAATTGGGAACAACTGCCAAGGACAGAAGCCCAGAAAGCCACAAATGTAAGAGACAAACTGTGGGGGAGAGGCCAGCTAAAGGGACCAAGAAAGAACAGTGAGGTTCGGGGGCAGGCAAGCTGGTGGGCACCTGGGGAATAGAATCTGGGGTGGGGGCGTCAGGAGGTCGGCAAGAGCATCAGATGCTACAGAAATGGCAAGGAAGATAAAGATGGAAAAGAGGCCATCGTATTTAACAATTACAAAGCCATTAGGAGTAAGAATCTTTTCAACAGCCATCCCATCCGTGCAGTGGTTACTCTGTGGTACAAGGGAATACTCAACCTGTGCTACCATTCTTAAAAAAGAATGAGGTAAATCCAGATGCAATAATAGCATAGGCGGGTTGTTAACGCCTAAAAAACAAATTAGAAGTGTAAAAAACCTAATCTGTTAGTGTCAACAGAGGCGCCTTTGGAAGCAGCATGATTGTGTGAAAGATGCAGGACATAGTGAGAGGGGTATAGAGAGAGTAGAGACTGCACCGCTGCCTGGGGCTTGGGCGTGGTACACAGCTGCACGAGGGCCCAGAAAGGCTGGGCATAAGCCATGTATAATGGAGATAGTCCCTGCATGCATTTCATTTTCCCCAGCAGAACTTGGGATAGTTAGATTAACATCAAGATGGTTATAAGCAGTCAAGGCAAGTTCAGAGTGAATTCAAGGCACCGATAGAAGGAAGCTCATGGTATCAAGGGTAGGGAGGGAAAGAAAAGCTGGAGAGGATAAGACTGCTGGGAAAATAGAAAGCCCTCAAGGATGAGGTGTGAAAAATCAAAGGGAAGTTTCAGTACCAGTGAAAAAAATGGGGCAGGTGATAATGGCAAGCATTTACTGAGCACTTCCTATGTGCTTTTGCTGTATTATTCATTTCATCCTTGCACATCTCTGAGGTTAAGTCTATTATACTTCCCATTTTACAGAGGAGGAAACTGAGGCACTGGGAGAATTAGTAAATCATCCAGGTCACAGGACTAGCAAGTGGCAGAAGCAGGATTTGAACCAGCTTTCAGTCACTGTGCTCCATAGGAAGCTGGGATTCCAGGGCAGAAAGTCAGAGGTGGGCCGTGCTGGAGGACTGGGGCAGCTGCGTGAATGTTGCTAAAGTGCAGTAAAGATGTAGCTTGAGTTAAGGCAGGTGAAGGAGCCGCAAGGTTGGAAGGATCACCAAGGTTGGCATTGACCTTGATCCAGAAATGAGGTCCAGACATGAGGTGGAAAAGGAAATGCTAAGTTGGTAGAAATTTGGTGCTAAAGATGGCAAGGGAGTAGAACCCGATGATTTAAGCATGAAACAAGAAGTGGAGTTTGTGCAAGAGAAGGGAATATGAAGAGATTTAAGATGCCTCTTGCCTGCAGGTGGCTTTCAGTTGAATTGAGAGGCAGGACATTAGATTATGAACAATAATCTGGTCATGCCACTGCACTACAGCTTGGGCGACTGTCTCAGAAAGAACAAGAAAGAGAGCAGGAGAGAGGGGGGAGACTGGGTTGGCGCCTCGTCATTACTTGTCAGGGAGCGATAAAGATCTCTACTCACCTGGGTTTTTGGAATTGGGTTATTAGACATGTTTTTTGTTGTTGTTGTTGTTTGGTTTGTTTTTAACCAAAGCATTATCAAAAGAGCCATAGTTAGTGCCTACGCACATGAGTTTGGTAGGAATAAGAAGAGAAAAATCTGAAATGATTGTGGTGTGTGTTGTGGTTGGCTTCCCCCGGTCCCCTGGTGCAAACATGTCACATCCGAGATAAGTCATCCATCTAAAGCATAGCTTCGCTAGGTCGGGACGAGTTTCACCTTCTGAGGGCCAAACCCACCGCGACAGAGGAAGGTATGTGGATACAAGATGTCATTTGGCCCGTTGTGCCTCCTGCATTCCTCTGCTAGCAGAAGTGGGAACCTTTCAGCAAACCATGTCTACCCACTGTTTCAAATGTGTGGTTCTCAGGTGGGACTGTCCCCACATACCTCCTGCTCTGCAGCAAGACCAGTGGATGTTCCCTTCTGGGATTCTTTGAATCAGAGCTAAGGGATGAGACTCCCTTCCTCTTTGCTTGTATGGACAGACGGGAACCTGCAAACTAGCAGCCAGGAGGCCAAATGTGTGCAGCTCAGCAGGAGAGAGAAGCAGAGATTAGCTGTTTATATGTGTTTCCAAATGATTTTTCTCCCTGGGACCAAAAAAAAACAAAACCAAAAAAAACCACCCTGAAAAATCATGCAAGAAATAGGCTAAGCAAAAAATATATATGTTTTTAATGGCTTAGAAGATTTTCAATATATCTCCAATAAAGAAAAGAGAATCAGAATTGGTTCTGGGATTTGGATGTTGTATAAAATGACTCAGATAAAGTGTTCGTCATTTCTCCAGCTTGGTGACGTTTTGACTCTTTGAACAGAGAAAGCATTGTGCTGGATAAACTTAGAGCATATTATCTGTGATACTGAAACTATTTAAAGACTTCTTGTTTTGATTTTTTAAAAAGCAAGTGAATAACATAATTATCTACAGTTCCCAGCAAGCCCCATTCCTCCAGGTTTGGACTTACTGGCAGCACGATTTGCACGCACCATTTAGGATAACAAAGCATAAACCAGTAGTTTCATCATCTCTAATTGGCTTTTATCTCAACTGTGAAAACTCACTACTTCAGATTAACTGGAAATAATGGCCAATTTGGAGTGTAGAACAGTTTTAGAGAAATACATTTCTTTCCTTTTAAATGTATAGCTTTTACTAAGGTGAAAAGACTTTAGCAAATAGGTTTGGGGCCCTTCTTTAGATGAATTAAAGCATATAATTTGTAATTAAATGACTGATGTTTCAGTACATCTAAGTGGTAAACACTTATTGCAGAAGTACTGTAGACCAGATGCTGATACGAGTCTCATATCCATTCTCTCTCTTATTTAACGCTCACCATAGCCGTGTGAGACAGGCACTTAAAATGTAAAATGAATAATACACTGTCACTTAGAGAACGTAAGTTGCCCAAGGTCCCACGGCTGGCAAGCTGGCCCCAAGTGTGTCAGACTTCCAAGTATGTGCTCTTAACCACGGTTCCATGCTGCCTCTGCACTGCACATTGTTTTTATGGTTTGTTTTATTTGTCATTGTCTTATCATCTTTCCCCCTTTTTTTTAGCATTCATTTTTGGCATTCTTGTCACCTTTGCTTTTTTGGTCATCATTTATTAAGCACTTCCCATCACCAGATAGTGTGCTAGGGACTCTTAGTCCATTATCTGTTTTATCTCTTTTAATCCTCACAGCAACCCTGTTCTTAGGTTTTATTGTGTCTTATTTAAAGGAGAGGGAAACTGAGTCTCAGGGTAAATCATTTCCCTAACATCACAGTACTAGGTGTCAGAGCCAAACTCTTGAACATGGAGGAGAGAGAGTAGTCGCTGAGATTCGACCAGAATGGGAGACGGTGGTGGGTTTGCATGGTTGGCAGGATGAGCTCAGAAGACCACTGGTTAATGGTGCCACCCGTGGAGGGCTCCAGGAAGTGGAGTGGGCAGTGGGCGTGATCTGGAGGGCAGCTCGAAAGGGCTGTACATTTGGATGATCTCCCTGGGGCCTGGTGTTGGTCAGGGTTCTCCTTGCGTGGTCTTGGCCATGCCCTGCCAAAGACTGTCCCGGAAGTCCCAGCTCTGGCCAGCCTGTAGTGTTAGAGGTTATAGTGGCCCCAAGGAGTTCTCAGGGTGAGAGCCAGGGTATCTCGGTGTCAGTTCAGCAGTGCCACCACCCAATTTGCTGGTGGAGGTAGAGCAAATGCGATACTTTCCAAATACGCAGTTGACACACCCCATTCGGCCATCAGCTGGTCAATGGACATGACAGATACAAATCTCTAGAGCCTTGGGCAGTGACGCTCTTTATCCCAAGGAGATGAACTGAGAGTTGAGGCTGGAGTTCAGGCAGTCGGGTAGCTCATGAATGGAGATGGCCATTCATTTATTTCACATTTTTGAGCAACTACCATATTCCAGGTCAGCGTTCTGGAAGGTAAAGTCTGTGTCAGCAGGAGCTAACATTCCTGTGGGTGGAGACGAGACAAAACACACACATGCACATGCACACACGTCACGTGCAGTGGTAGAACATGCTACAAGGGTCAGGGAAGGCCCCTCTGCGGAAATGGCATTGCATGGGGACTTGAAAGAAGCAAAGGACAGCCCCGTGAGCATCTGGAGGGAGAGTATGGCCGGCATAAGGCAGGTGCAACGGTCAGGAGCAGGAACGATGCTTGGCAGGTTGGAGGCTGAGGCAGAGCAGGAGGAGTGCCAGGGATGAGTAGGACAGGTAGACCCTGGTGGGTTTCACTCCGAGCAAAATGACAAGCCTCGAAAAAATGTGAGATGGTTGCCATGGCATGATGTATGGCTTTTTAAAATTTTTTGTTTTTAATTATTATGGCTACATAATAGTTGTATATCTTTATAGGGTGTGTGTGATGTTTTGATATAGGCATACAATGTGAATGAATCAAATCAGGGTAACTGGGGTGTCCATCACCTCAGGCATGTAACATTTCTTTGTATTAGGAACATTCCACTTCCACTCTTTTAGTTATTTTTGAAGTATAGTCCTAACTTATTGTTGATTATAGTTCTTTGTTGTGCTATCAAATATTGTTCATTCTATCTAATTACCTGACTTTATATTTGTACCCATTAACCATCCCCACTTTTTCCTCCACTACCCACTACCCTTCCCAGCCTCTGGTAACTGTCACTCTACTCTCTGTCTCCATGAGATCAATTGTTTTAAATATTTAGCGCTCACATATGAGTGAGAACATGCAAGAGTTGTCTTTCTGTGCTTGGCTCATTTCACTTAACATAATGTTCTCCAATTCCATCCATGTTGTTGCAAATGGCAGAATTTCATTTTTGTGGCTATATAATATTCCATTGTGTATATGTACCACAATTTCTTTATCCATTCATCTGCTGTTAGACACTTAGGGTGATTCCATAGTTTGGCTGTTGTGAATAGTGCTGCAGTAAACATGGGAGTGCAGATATCTTTTCAATGAACTGAATCCCATCCTTTGGATATATACCCAGCAGTGGGATTTCTGCGTCATATGGTAGTTCTATTTTTAGTTTTATGAGGAACCTTCATACTGTTTTCCGTAGCAGTTGCACTAATTTACATTTATATGTCTTTTTGATAAAAGCCATTTTAACTGGGGTGAGACGATGTATCATTGCAGTTTTGATTTGCATTTCTCTGATGACTGATGGTGTTGAGCATTTTTTCATATACTGGTTGGCCATTTGAATGTCTTTTGAGAAATGTCTATTCAGATCTTTGCCTTTTTTTTATCAGATTATTTGATTTTTTTCCTATTGAGTTGTTGGAGCTCCTAATATGCTCTAGTTATTAATCCCTTGTCAGATGGGTAGTTTGCAAATATTTTCTCCCATTCTGTGGGTGTCTCTTCCCTTTATTGATTGTTTCATTTGCTGTACAGAAGCTTTTTAGCTTGATGTGATCCCATTTGTCCAATTTTGCTTTGGTTGCCTGTGCTTTGGGGGTATTAATCAGGAAGTCCTTGCCTAGACCAATGTCCTGAAGCATTTCCCCAATGTTTTCTTTTGGTAGTTTCATAGTCTCGTGTCTTAGATTTAAGTCTTTAATCCATTTTGATTTGATTTTTGTATATGGTGAGAGATAAGGGTTTAGTTTCATTCTTCTGCATATGGAAACCCAGTTTTCCCAGCACCATTTACTGAAGAGACTGTCCTTTCCCTACTGTATGTTCTTGGCACCTTTGATGAAGATAAGTTCACTTCTGATGTCTGAGTTTGTTTCTGGGCTCTCTGTTCTGTTCCATTGCTCTAATGCATTTGTTTTTATGCCAGTACTATGTTGTTTTGGTGACTGCAGCTCTGTAGTATAATTCGAAGTCAGGTAATATGATTCTTCCAGTTTTGTTCTTTTTGCTCAGAATAGCTTTGACTATTCTGGGTCTTTTGTGGTTCCATGTAAATTTTAGGATTATTTTTTCCACTTCTGTGAAAAATGTCATTGGTATTTTAATGGGAATTGCATCGAATCTGTAGATTGCTTTGGGTAGTACAGACATTTTCACAATATTGATTCTTCCAATCCATAAGCATGGGGTATCTTTCCATGATGTATATTTTTAAAGGAGCACTCTAGCTGCCATGTATAGGGGCTGCAAAAATCGAAGCAAGGAGAGTAGGGTAGGCCAGGGAGAAATGATGGTGGCATGGACTGGCAGCAGCAGACAGTGGTGGAGATGCTGAGAGGTGTCCTGGCTAAAATTTTGAGGGAATCAAAGATAGAATTAACTAATGGGTTGCATGAGGAGGATGAAAGAAAGGCGTCAGTGACAACTCCAAGGTTTTGGTCTAAGCAACTGGAGCAATGAGTTGCCTTTTACTGAGACCGGGAAGGGATAAGTTTGGGGAGAAGTAGCATGAGTTGGTTTGGCTGGCATTCCAGAACCCAGAACCGGGATGGGGGTGAGTGGGGCTAGACCATAAGCTCCCCTTCCAGTACCTGAGCAAAGGGGAACTGGTTTTGAGCCCTGCATGAGGAGGGCGGAAGCAGGGAGTGCTGCCACGCCAAGTGGAGCATGACTGGGTTCTAAAACAGCAACAAATGGGTCGGACTGAAGGGCCAGGCGTCTTCCCAGGGAGCCTGAAGTGGAGCCTTTGGTGGAACAGAGAGCTGCAAGGGGGCACTGGGAATTTGGGAAAGAAGCTGAGAGGGCGGGAATCGTCTGCAAGGCCTCAAAGAAAAGTGGGATCTGAGCTGAGCTTCTGAACAGGGAGCCAAGTTTGTCATACTCAAGAAGTGGATGGGGAAAGAGGGCAGGGGTGCAGGATGCACACAGACAAATGAACGGAACCTGGAGCTGGGAAAGATCGTGGCTTGACTACAGACCACTCGGAGGGCCAGGAAGGGAGGGTGCTGGGAGTTTGGCTGGAAACTTAGGATGGGTCTGCCTTTTGAAAGGCCTGGGAAGCTCAAAGCTGGACGGAGGAGTTTGATGAAAGTGTGCAGGAGTGACTAAAGAATAGGAAGCTAGCATTCAGCTACAGTATGGTTTGAATGTGCATAAAAATATGCATTGGTGCATATTTCCTGGATGATCTGAAAGTGAAAGCAAGCAACTCAAACTCCACCTTCATTTTCTTCCCTGTTCCACTTTACTGCTCTACCCATAAAACTTGCAGGAGGAAGACTTGCTTTCGGGCTAGGCATTATATGAATAGGCCAATTTTCTGGACCGTCAGTTTCCAATAGAACTGGCTTAAGTTTCTGCCATAGTACATCCTTTTAAAGACTATAATGACTGGATCACTCAAAAGTTTGGGTCTACTCTAATCCCAGGAGATATGTACTTTTAGTAGGTCGTTCTTTCCCAGGCAGATGAGGCATTTACAATGAATAGAATATATAATAGTATATATGTATAGTATATATAGTATATATGTAATAGTATATATAATATATTATATTAATGATACTGTATATATTATAAAATTACAAATATTTATTGTAACATAGTCATGATATTTATATAATTTAGCTGGAAGTTATATATTACACATATGCACTCTTATAAACAAACTGTCAAATTAGCTATAACACATTAACTTTTTACTTTTATCATATGATGTTAGGAATGCAGCACTCTGTTTATTTTAATAAGCCTTTTACCAGGTTACAATAAACAAATAACCTTGCCCCAATGAGCTTTTCAGAGAGACAGTTGTTTTTCACATGATACTTTGTTATTTATTTATGTTTTAAAAATCAATTTCCAATGAAAAGTACCGTAACCAAAGTACTTTGATTTACAGATTATGGATGACTGGCCAGGGTATGACTTGAATTTATTCACATACCCACAGCACTATTATGGAGATTTGGAATATGTCCTTATACCTCATGGCATCATTGTGGACAGGTGAGTGTGATTTCCTGTGTCAGTCTTGGTCCTGTGCTAGGCTGGCCCAGTCTTATGTGAATCCTATAAAATATGCTTTATGTTCCTTATTTCCTTCTTATAGAAGTAGAGAGAACTTTTATAGGGCAGTGAATTTGAAATAAAATGAATTTATGCTTTAAGTAAATGGTTTACCTGGACATTTGTTCACGGGGAATTGTAAGATGCATGTCCATACATAAGCTATTATAAGTAACAGCCTCAAAATAACAATGTCCTAAGATGGCTTTTTCAGGGAATACAAGGCTCATCTTTAGAGGGGAGGAAAGTTCTATGATAAAATAAATTTGGGGAAAATGTCCATTTCCCAAAATGCTAAATCTGACAATTGGCAGTTCAAAACAAACATTAGCGTGTTAAAGGCACTGAAATAATGGCAAAGAAAGAAAGATGGAAAGAAAAAAGAAAAAAAGAGAAAAAGAAAAATTAATTTGACTTTAACAATTAAATCAACTGTTTTTTGTGCAAAGAGAGACTTTGTTCTCTGTTCACCTCCTCATAACTCTTGGAAGAAATTTCCTTTAGCACCAATTTGGGAAGCCCCTCGTTTAAACAAATCCCTGCTTTTCTTACCTGGATTTTATGATTTAAATTGAATGCATCCTGATCTAAAACGTGGTTGAGTCCCAGGTAAGGTTACCCTAATCTTTTTCTCTGTGTAGAAGAAATACCTAGTTGAAATCATTAAAATTCATGTTATTGAATTTTGTGTCTAGAAATTCTGAATCAGTGGTCTTGAGTAGGGCCAGGAATATCCATCCTTACCATTAAAATAAATTTATTAAGATGTAATTTACATACTACTGTACAGAATTCACCCACTGTAAGCAGATGATTCAATGGCTTTTAGTAAATTTTTATAGTTGGGCAACCATCACCACAATCCAGTATTTATCATCCTAGAAAGTTTGTTTGCAGTCGTTTTCTGCTCTCACCCCCAGCGTCAGGCAGCCACTAATCTGCTTTATTTCTCTATAAATTTGTCTTTCTTGGACATTTCATATAAACAAGATCATACAATATCTAAGAATTGATTCACCAGTTGATAGACATTTGCTTTCTAATTTTTGGCTACTATGAAGAATGCTTCTGTCAATATTCACATGTAAGTCTTTGTGTGGACATATCTTTTCATTTCTTTTGGATGGATTTCTTGGAGTAGAATTCTGAGTTTTCTGGTAAGGTTAAGAAACTATCAATTATTTTCCAAAGTGGTTGCATCATTTTATATTCCCACCAGTAATGTATGAGGATTCTAGTTTCTCCACATACTTGCCAACATTTAGTATTGTCTGTCCTTTTGATTTCAGGCATTCGAGTGGTGTGTATTGGTATCTCACTGTAGTTTTAATTTGTATTTTCCTATTCATTAGTGTACTTATTAGCTATTCATATGTCTTCTTTGGAAAGATGTCTATTCAAGTCTTTTGCCAATTAAAAGACAGAGACTGTCAGAGGGGATTAAAAAAAAAAAAAGACCTAACTATATGTTGCCTACACGGAACCCACTGTAAATATAAAGACACGGACAGATTAAAAGTAAAGGGACAAAGACATGCCTTGCTAACACTAATCAAAACAAAGCTGGGGTAGCTATATTAATTTCAGACAGAGCAGACTTCAGGATAGTGAAAATTATTAGGAATAAAGAGGATTCCTTTCAGTGATTGGTGGTCTTATTGAGTTGTAAGAGTTCTTTATAGATTTTGGGTACAAGTCCTTTATCAGATGTACGATTTGTAAATATTTCTCCCTAGTCTTTGGCTTGTCTTTTCATTTTCTTGTTGGTATCTCTTGAGAAGATTGTATTCTGCTGTTGTTGGGTGAAGTAGTCTATACACATGAGTGAGATTCAGTTGGTTGATGGTGCTGCTCAGTTCAGCTGTGTCCTCACTTATTTTCTGACTGTTGAATCTGTCAGTTACTGATGGTGGGGTTGTCTAAGTCTCCAAATGCAATAGGAGATTTGTTTATTTCTCCTTGCAGTTCTATCAGTTTTTTGGCACTCTGTTGTTAGGAACATATACATTAAAGGTTGTTATGTCTTCTTGGAGAATTGACCTCTTTATCATTATGTAACATCCCTCCTTATTCCTAATAATTTTCCCTACCCTGAAGTCTGCTCTGTCTGAAATTAATGTAGCTACTCCAGTTTTGTAGCACTTTGATTAGTGTTAGCATGGCGTGTCTTTGTTTAATCCCTTTACTTTTAATCTATCTGTGTCTTTATATTTACAATGGGTTCCTTGCAGGTGACATATAATTAGGTCTTTTTTTAAATCGCCTCTGATAGTCTCTGTCTTTTGATTGGTGTATTTAGACCATTCATATTTAAAGTGATTATTGATATAATGATTTAGCATCTATCATGTTCATTCATTTCTATTCATTGCTATTGTTCTTTGTTTCTTTTTTGTCTTTTGCTCTGTGAAATGTGTCTTCCCCTCAATGTATGGCCTCTGATGACTGTGTAGTTTATTTTTCTTGTTTTTATTTTTAAACCTTACTTACTGGCATTCACCCTGTGTCTGAATAGCTTAGTGTTCAGCTCACGATTGGTTAGATGTTGTGCGCAAACTCTTTGAGCCAGTAAAGCTTCTACTCTCTGCTGATGGACGTGTGTATGGGCTGGCAAACATATTCAAATTTCCAGCCTTTTTCAAGTCTTCTGGGTTTTTACTTTCCCTAGGCTCTCTTGTGTATCCTCTGCACACGCATACAGCCTCATTGTCCAAGGACCTGTGGGTGGCTTGGGTTCACTCTCGTCTCTGCTGTGCATATGCACAGCCTCTGGTCAACTTGAGACATACAAAGAACTTATTGTATACCCCAGCTCTATGACTGTCAAAGCCCCCAAACTTCCTATTAAATCGCCAACTAGCCTGCCAGTGCATTACTCAAAGGAGATCGCACCTCAGGATAATTGAGCTGAGCTACTGAGATGGCCACTTCAGCTTACAGTGTTCCCAATCAAGGGAGCTCCCCTGGGCAGTGCCACAGGTGGGGGTGACAGGAGCACCCTCAGGCAAGAATGCCACAGACGCGTGCTGTTTCTACGTGTTCATGTGTCCGTGATTAAATGCTTCTCCATTTGTTGCACGCCTTTGGTTGATTTCCAGAGTGCTGACATGGTTGTTTTTGATGTTTTCATCCTGATCTTTGGTTTTTTGCAGAGAGGATGTGCTGACCTCCTTACTCCACCATGCTGAAAACAAACAGTCATTTTTAAGGAGCATGCCAGATATTCTGATATACATTTTTTGATGATCATATTTTGAAAAACATTGCCTGAAACCATGGCTACCATTCTGTGTGTGTGTGTGTATGTATACAAACACACATAAAATATATTATGTATATTATATATATTACATATGTAGAATATATAATATTATATATATAATTCCTTTAATCTATTTTAGATCTAATTCTATTTGAAGTGCCAGTGGGGACTTTTTTTAAAGTATGTGCCTTAGATCCTATCTCCATTGAAGGTTTTGGTGTTGTATGGTATATGGGCAGTGGACTTATAGACATGAAACAATTGGAAAACAATACTGGGGCACTTCCAAATGAGGTATCAGGAGGCAGGGCTGCTGCGAGATCACATTGCACAACTCTAGGGGGCGTCCTTTTCCTGGCCTTCCATGGAAATGCTGCCTGCTGCCGGGGTGCTCTGGGGCAGCTTTCACACAGCCAGTGTGCTACCTTTGTTAAGTACAAGATACCTGTTATTCTTTCGGTAGTTACCACGGGTGTGACTTTTCCTCCAGTGTCCTATAATGTCGTAAGGTGGGTGAGTCACCTCCATTTCCTTTGTCTCTACTGTAAAATGAGCATAATATCACCAAATACTATCATACCATTGTTAAGGGTAACAGCCAGGCTTTGAAGTGATAAAATAATATCAGTCATGATTTTTGACATTATGTTTTACACCTTAATAATTTTTGTGACATAGAGGAACAAGAATATACCATTGATGATGTGGCTATCAGAAGTACGTTTTGAACACCCCTCTCTGTGTCCAACCCTAACAAAGCTTTTCTGTCTGTAGATTTCTGTTTCCTATGCTTTTCTCTACCTCCCCCTGAGTAATCTACTATGTATAATACGTCATGCATTTTTATTAAAGCAATAATAATATCCAGAACAGGTTGTGCTTTAATATATCTTGCATCCCTTCTTTCAGAATCGAGCGGCTGGCTAAGGATATTATGAAAGACATAGGATATAGTGACATCATGGTCCTGTGTGTGCTTAAAGGAGGTTACAAATTCTGTGCCGATCTCGTAGAGCACCTTAAGAACATCAGCCGAAATTCAGATCGATTTATCTCCATGAAGGTTGATTTCATCAGACTAAAAAGTTACCGGGTAAGTTGTTCCAAGTTTTATTTTCATTGCACAATGTTTCGATTTAACAGTGCTTTAGCATAAAAGAATCAATAATGTTAATGAAAATGAAGAGTGCAATTTTTTTTAATTTGCAAGAATGCTACAACCTGCTATAAGAATTCAAATAATATTCTTTGGGGGGGTGGGAGGATCTTCTCTTTTCACATATGTGGAAAGACTCTTCAGGAATGATTCGTGCATTCTTTTATGGTGATACAGCAGAGTGGTATTCCTGGTGCCCAGCCTCACAAATGAGTGCGGCCAGTGTGTGAACACGGATGTGTTTCTGTACTGGATGTCACTGTTGGGCCCGGAGACCCAACCTGTGGCAAGGTGTCCAGCCCAGAGAGGAGACTTAGTACTCAGGTGGCTGCAGTCATGGCCTGGAATTAGAAAAGGGAAGCTTTGTGATGCTTTTTGATTTAATGTACAGTGAATTATCAAAACTAACTTTGGGGTGAGAAACTCTTTGGGGTCAAACCATGAACATATATTCTTACTGACTAAACTAGCTTGACACATTTTAATTCATTAATCACTGTTGGAATTGGCTTTCTATTGCTGTGTGACAAAATCGCCTAAGGTTGGTGGCTGTAAACCAACCCACATTGATCATCTTATGGTTTCTGCAGGTCAGAAACCTGGGCAAGACATAGCTGGGTTTTCTGTTCAGAGTTTTATCAGGCTGAAATTGAAGTATTGACTGGGGTTCTGATAGCCTCTGAGGTTTGGGGTCCTCGTCCAAGATCACTAGCTGTTGGGAGGATTCGGTCCCTATTTCCTTGCTGGCTTCAGGCTGGAGACCACTCTCTGCTCCTAGAGCTGTCCTCAGCTGCTCTCTTTAGGTTCCTTTCATCTTGAATTAAATTCCTGTGCTTTCTTCTTACAAGATTTTTCTCAGTCACTTGCCTCTGATCCTTGTCGTATTTGTCCCTGGTTAATAGCTTTTAAAAAACCTTTTAAAATCTTTCGAATATTAAAGTCAGGTTTATTGAGGTATCGTTTACATGCAGTAGCACTCATCCCTTTTAGTTTACAGTTCTGTGAGTTTCAACAAATGCGTACGTCACATAAATCACCACAGTCAAGATATACAGCATTTCCTTACCACAAAAAAATGCCCTGTGTCTTTTGCAGTCAACCTTCCCCAACCCCAGACCCTAGCAACCACTGCTGTGTTTTCCTAAAGGTTTGATTTTTCCAGAATGTCATCTAAATGTAATCATATACCATATAGCCTTAGTCAATCTGTAAATCTTAACATAATGCATTTGAATTCATCTGTATTGTGTGTGTCAGTAGCTCCTTTCTTATTAATGTTATATAGGATTCCATAACATGGATATGGCAGTTTTTTAATCCGTTCATCAGCTGAAGGATATTTGAGGTGTTTCCATTTTGGGGTGACTATGAGTAAAGCTGCTTTTGTATGTACTTATGTCTTCATTTCCCTTGAGTAAACACTTAGGGGTAAGATGGTCGTCATATGATAAGTGTGTATAAGACATTACCAAACTGCGTTCCAGAGTGATTGAATCACTTTGCATCCCACCAGCAATACGTGAGAGTTCCAGTTGCTCCACATTTTAGACAGCATTTGATATTATCGGTTTTTCTTTATTTTTTCTTAATCTTACCTATTTGAATAGGTATCTCATTGTGGTTTTAATTTGCATTTCCTCAGGGAATAATGATATTGAACGTATTTTCATTTGCTTATTTGCTGTTCATATAGTTTTTTAGATGAAGTGTTTGTTCAGATATCTTGCTCATTTTTTAAATTAGGTTGTTTTCTTATTATTGAGTTTTGAGAGTTCTTTATGTATTTTGGCCATAAATCCTTTATTAGATATGTATTTTGAATATGTTTTCTAGTCAATGAGTTGTTTTTTCATTTTCATACCAGTGCTTTTTTTTTTCAAAGAGCAGAATATCGTTTTTTTTCTTTTGATGTATCTAAGAAATCTTTCTCTAACTTAAGGTCACAAAGATTTTCTTTCTGTTTTTAAAGGAGAAGTTTCATAGTTTTAAATTTAAATTTATGTCTCTGAGCCATGTTGTGTTAATTTTTTAACGTGGTATAAGGGTCAAGAATATTTGGTAGCATTCACCAGTAAAACTGTTAATATCTTGGCCTGGAATTTTATCAGAGGTTTTTAACTAGGAATTCAATTTCTTTAGTAGATGTAGGAGTATTCAGGTTATTTTTCTTCTTGAGTAAATTTTAAAGGTTGTGTCTTTTAAGGCATTTATCCATTTTACCTTAGTTTTCACATTTCTGGGCATAAAGTTGTTTATAATCTTTCCTTATTATCTTTTATTGTCTGTAGGGTCTGTAGTGATAGCCTCTATTTCATTCCTAATATTATTAAATTTTATCTTCTATCTTTTTCTTCACCATTGTACGTAGAGGTTTGTCAGTTTTTTGATTCTTTCAAAGAATCTGTGGCTTTCTTAATGTTTCTCAGTGTCTTCCTGTTTTCAGTTCTATTGGCTTATGCTTTTATCTTTATTGTTTCTTTCCTTCTGTTTGCTTTGGGTTTAATTTGCTTTTATCTTCCTAGATTTATAATATGGAAATTGAGATCACAGATTTGATTTTTCTTGTTTTCTAACATAAACATGTAACGCTATACATTTTCCTTTAAGTATTTCTTTAGCTACATTCCACAAATGTTGATATATCATGTTCATTTTCACTCAATTCATACTATCTTCTAATTTCTCTTGTGACATCCTCTTTCCCTCTGGTTATTTCATGTTGTTTAATTTTCAAACATTTGGGGGATTTTCTGGATATATTTCTGAATTGTTTCTAGTTTAATTGTGTTGCAGGAACTACACTTTGAATGATTTCCATTCTTTTAAATTTGTTGAGGGCTGGTTCTATGGCCCAGAATTTAGTCAGATCTTGCTGAAACTAACACCATTGTAATTTTATGTCAAATTAAACTATACTGCTGTCTCCTTCTAATTTCTCATTCAATTTCTTTGTCTATTTCTCTAAGCAACCTCTCTTTATATTACTCAGGTTTTCCCCAAGAGGTACACATTCTAACACTTACATACCCTGTTAACTCATGTTTATGTCATATTAGTTCAGAACAGAGATTTGCATTTCTAAAACTCCAGTGACACTATGATCATTAGCACTTCACCAGACAGATATTTTCAAATTAACATATTTTTCCTGGGGATGGGGAAGTGGGAGTTCCTACCCAGGGTTCCAATGGAGGTGGAGGGCTGTAGTTGACATCAAGTCTTCACCACCTCACCCCATCCAGTCTCTTGCATTGCGCATCTTAGCTTGGGTCCCACACCTTAAGTCCTGTAGGACCCAAGGATGGCAGTGGTGTCTTTTCCCTTCCCTTCTTACCAATGGTCCTCCTCTTGTACATTACCAAGGCGACACAGATCCTCTCCTGGGAGATTACTGCATGTGAAAGCCAGCCTGCTCGCTCGAGCCAGCTTTCTTCCTAATTGAACATCCTCAGAAGTGGGTGGAAAACCCATACACATGGTCCTGGGTATGGTGTGGACAGCTCCCACCCACGGCCCATGAGCTGTCCCCATCCAGAGACGAATGCATCGCTGTGTCTGTAGATTCGCTCTGACCGTCCCTTTACACACTCGAGCTCTTTCGTCATCCCTGAGAGCAGAGACCAATTAAAAAAACCCAACTAATAAACACCACCAAATAAGGGGCCCCGGCCCAGCTCGCTCTCCTCTGAGGGCGTCGGTGCTCCTGCGTTCCTCCCAACTTGCTCATGGGTGCAGGCATCTCACACCATCTTGGCAGAAACAACAGCCGCTGGAGCCTTCTGTTTGTTCCCGTGGAAGGTTCTGGTGGTGGTGGGTGCAGATCGGGGCTCTGTGTGCCGTTGTGCGTGCTGGTCAAAAGCATTGTGTAGCTGTGCTCCTTGCTCCCCTGTTGCCTGGTGATTCTTTTCAGATTTCTTTTTTGAGGAAAAAAGAAGAAAGTTCATTTTACTGAGCGGCGAGGCTTCTCCCTATCTCAGCCCTCAGCATTCATAAGTTACTAATTTAGGAGCTTTGTCACAGAAAGGTCTCAGTGGCCTGGTGCCTGCCACAGGGACCTTCCTGAGGGACTGATGGCTGCAAACATCTCGGGGCTCTAGACAGTCTGACTTGCCTTTGTTGTTATATTAAACTTTCCAAAAGATATGAAATTAATTTGCGTGTGTGGTAGCAATGTAGACAAGGATTACTTTGAAATGAGCATTCGACTAATTTATTGAATGGCGTGACTAACATACTCCTGTTCTTCAATGAACTGAGGGATGCTGGCAGCCTGAATTCCTTAACATTTCAAGTTTTTCTTTCTCCCTTCCTTCCTTTTTTTCTTTCTCTCCTTCTATCCTTCCTTCTGCATTTCTATTTATGTTCAATCAGCACTTGCTAGATGAATTCATTATCTCATTTAATCTTGACTGCAACCATGCCGGGTGTTTCTCAGCTCTTCTTTTACCCTTGAGGAAATGGAGACTCAGAGAGATTAATTAACTCACCTAATGTCACACAGCCAATAAATAGTAGAAAATGCATCAGAGGCCAGACCTATCTATCTCTCAAGCCTCTGTCCTTTGCAGCACAGCATTTCCCATGGCATTTTCAAAGGTTTTCCACAAAACTTTACTGTTCCCTAAGATAGTACTAGATTTCCAAACATTTATAAAGGAGTTGGTTATATTTTTCTCCTAAAATATATGTAGGAGAAATATTAAGTACATTTATATGTATTATTATTATTATGCAACAATTTGCCTTTTACATATGGTGGTCTTACTTGAGAAAGTCTGGAATTTGCCTGAAAGAGAACTTATTACACATATGACATTCCACATGCACACAAGTGGCAACCTTAGTAGCTCGTCTTATAATAGCAACAAAATCTGTGTATCCAGTGTGTATTTTATTTAACAAAGCATTAAATAGCAATTATTTCTCATAAAAGTTTA